ATATACTACTATCTTTTCATTTATATGGTTTTTCACTTTTGAAAATGTCTCAATTATGTTTAAAATAACGATTTGCCCCAGTTTTTATTTCGGAAATTTGCACTAGACAGGGAGTCAGCTAATTCACTCAACCGTAACGAGCTGGTAACGACACTAGCCAACTGATGAAAATTGAAAAATTAGGACTGGCGAAAATATTCAATAATAATATAATAAGTCGAAGGTTTTGAAGAATCAATCTTTCAAAAAGATATGTTGCTGGTTTGGATAAGGATGTCTTGGAAGTGGTGATCTTAATAGTGGCGTTAAATAGGTGTGTTTAATACCAACTTACCTGTGTAGGCATAGCCTAGCATTTAGTGCAGTACTGTATGTATGTAGAGTATACGGAATACTACTCTATTGCCTGGCGCGGCCTAGGCATGTCTTGGAAGTGGTGATCTTAATAGTGGCGTTAAATAGGTGTGTTTAATACCAACTTACCTGTGTAGGCATAGCCTAGCATTTAGTGCAGTACTGTATGTATGTAGAGTATACGGAATACTACTCTATTGCCTGGCGCGGCCTAGGCCCCTAGTTTAGGCCTAGGCATACAAGCTATAATAATAATATCTCAAACATTAGACAAACAACACTATTTTAAATAAAGTACATTAATTTACATGTTAATTATTAGATCCATGGAACTATCTAGGACCTACTACTAATACTACAGCATTATTAAAATGCCAGTTTATTCGTTGTGGAATGTGGATGATACCTTGAAAACTAGCTCAAATTTGCGCGGAAAATGGCTTGGAAAAATGTGCACAGAACTTAACTTCTGCATGATATATTGGCAATGGTTATATACAGTATCCAAGTTAGTTCAAAGACTAATTTTTCGGCATTCTGCTCGGAAATACAACCATCTGCCTTAGGCGTGGCCCTGGTGGTTCCATGCTGGATCAAAAACTAGTAGAGGCTCAAATGTCCAGCCATTTTGATGGTCAAAATACAGGGGCATTATTATTACTGTACATTAGAAAAGATTGAGAAACAAGATAGTCTATTATACATATACTGTATTGTTATTGTCTTCATTTGTAATTTTTAATTTTAAACTAATTTTTATTTTTATATTACAAAAAAGTATTATATTAATGAAGTAATAAATTCTATTCAAAATAATTAGGTCGCGGCTATGTTACACCACTTTGCAATGCATTTGAATATGGGCTTTTGACAGTGATGGTTAATTAGAATATATATATTTTCAACAAAAATTATCATTGATGATTAGTGCCAGAATGATTAATTCCTTATAAAGATATTGTAATATCAATACTAATTATTTTTGAATGGTGTAAGAATAGTCACTCTGATTTTTTTAAAACTAATCTGTTCAAACTTTTTATTGTACTTCTCTTCTTACAGGAAATGCCGACATGATGGATATCGATGGCTTTCATTTGGTAGGTGTTTAACAGGCTAAAGAAATCTGACAGAAGGGTCATCCCATCTTGCACTGTGTAGGCGATTAGGAACAAGTTCCCAGAAGCTGTGAAGACTGCCCTGGGTTTTTTGATGCTATAGAAGATGATGAAATAAACTTTGTGTTGGAAGAATTATTTATAAATTGTTATGGAAGATACCTGATAATTCCATCCACATTAATGCAACAGATCTTATGTAATAGATTCATTCTTGACAATTCATGTGAAAACTGTGCTCGTTTTTTTTGAAAATTTCATCAGCACAGGCCTAGTGCTTTTGTATATCTGCACCAGTCAATTGTGTGTAACCTTCCAGACCTAGTCTGTAATTGAAATTGTTGCTATTGATGCGGATAGGCCAGCGAAGTTGATTTCAAGAACATTTTGTTGTTAAGTACAGTACAATGTTTTTTCAATTTTATATTAACTGTGAGAAAATACACTTGTAATAAATTATTTGCCATGTACAAGGATGATAAATTGCGTTTCAAAATATTTATTTAGTAACACCAGTAGTCTTGAATTTACTGTATGTACAACAATAACTAAGTGAAGCACCAAAAATATGAATGTTGAATATCATCATGAAAGAAGAAATCTTGGCTATGGCAAATAATACAAGACAATCAGACATGATAAATAGAGCAGTGAAATTAAACTTGCCTAAGACGACTAATAATATACTCTTAATAATTTCACATGCCGAATTGTTGTGTTAGGATCAAACAATTTCTCAATATGACATAGGCAAGTTCAACTATATATTTTAAAATACTAAACAAAAAAAAGGTGTACAGCAAAAAAATTGAAGCTTTCTCTTAAATTCCAATACCAAATTGATCAGCATGCAGACATAGGCATAATCCAGGCATTAAAAAATAATCAGTTTCATAGAATAACTTTACACAAGACTGTACAAATCCATACATTAAAATAGTTTTTCCTGTATATATTGAGCCACATTTTCATACTGTACTATCAACTTCACACATTACATATTTCAAAATTAATCCTCACAATTTGTTTTCTAAATCTGGATCACATATTTGCTTTAAAGGATTACTATTGAATGGGATTATAATACCATTTAATAATATTAAAGATATTTTGCAAGTGAAACAGGTTCAGTAATACTGGTACAGTATTTATTTATTTATTATAAATTTGGCATGCAATATAAACCAGATGCTGCAATATAAACCAGATGCGTAAAAAACAAAAACTTAAGTGTGTGGCATTTCAGTATATCTTCAGAAAAAAAATCACTAGATAAATCATTTTAATTTAATTCTTTTGAAATATTTTGGCCTCAATCACTTGCTGCAGAGCTCTGAGCATCGTCACCTTCTGCTAACCATGGATTGGACATGTCCATTTCATCATATCCACACAGATGGAACTGTTTGCATCACATGCATTTGAGCCAGTCATTTGCTCCTATTGAGAAATAAGTATACAGTAGTTACAATAATGCAAAACCAGGTTTGTTAAAAATCAAAAATGTTATCAAACATTGGCATTTGCTGCTTTATCAATAACATACCATACTGAGATACTGTATGTACTAATCTGGAAAGCTATTCATTGACAGTATTTTCAGATTTTTTAATTACTTGATTGAAGCCTTCCTGTCTACTTGTATGTAATGTATTATTGTTGTTTCTTTTTAAATAAAACTGACACATAATGCTGATATTTTTTTACCATTCCAATATATTTGTTTCATGTACTCTGGCTGAACAGTGATATTCACTTTTTCTTTTGCTCACCTTAAATTGTGTGTAGCTTTCATTACAAGTTTCAGCAAACAACCAGTGTTTCTTGCTAATGTCTTGCTGGGTGCTTGTATGCTTTGTACCACCTTCTTTCGTAGATGCCAATGTTGGGTGGTTGTACTCATGGCAAATGTTTGTAGTATGTTTGTCTCATCATGGCGACTGGCAAAT